TTTTTTTTTTTTTTTTTTTTTTTTACCAAAACAGCATTTAGAAGAACAGGACAACAGCTATGTTAAAACTAGCCCTGTTCTAAAAGAGAAAAAAAAATTCAAATAAACATCAATCTGCATAAGATTAGATAATCATTTCAATTTAAAACAAAGTTGTGGTGGCATAGAAAAATTTCACATGTTTAGATATGATGTGGGGGGCGAGTATGAGTAAGAGGGAAAAAAATGACTGCAAAGGTAGCCCAAAAGGTTGAAGAAAAGAAGGAAATATTTAGGTATTTTAGGCTGCCATTTGGTTATGCTTATTTTTGTTTTTGGCAAGAGTCCACAGTGTGCTGAGCCACGCAAATAAGCACAAACCAGGCATGATTCCTTCCCTTAAGCTTATAGTCTAAAATAAATGAAGTCAGCAAAGGATGCAGTGAAGGAGACAATCCTATATCTAGAGGGAGAAAACTTCCTCAACCTGCTATTCCTTTTCCAGCAGGTCTTTTAAAATGAAGAGAAGAAAGCACCTTGCAGGCCTATTAGCTGTGTTATATTATCTTTTATCTTTACTTTCCAGAATTCACAATGTCTGTCCCTTGGAGGGAAGCCACTCAAACCACATTTTTTGTGGCTCAAATTTTAATCTAGTAGATTAAAAATCTACTAGTTTTAATCTACTAGATTAAAATACTTTTTTTCTGGGGTCTGAACCTGAGTTGATTGTTTAATTCCATCTGTTCTCCCTTGTTCTTACCTAAATCTGATAGACAGTGAAACAGTAATCATCTTGAGTAGTTCCTATTCATGTACAGTTCAGTACAATAGTGGGGAGAGACCTTGCTGGAGACATAGGGAGAGAAGGAAAAAGAATCTCAGAAATGTCTCTACAGATAATGTAAGAAATAATAATAAATGATCAAACTAGCAACTGCTCCAAAAACATGGTTCTCTCCCACTTCAGCGAAGAAGGACACCTTTCATTATCAGTAGTTTCAGCTAGTGTCTCAGTGGGCCAGCCACTCACACAAACACATGATTGCGCATTACTGTAGGAATTTTCTTGATTGTAACTGGTTACAAATTAAAGCAGCTGAAGTAGCGGTAATCTGTTTTCCTATGCCCACAAGACAAGTCCAAAGTGAGTTATCTAAATATTTATGGCACAACCCTTGTCTTAGGGTGTACATGTGCGCTTTTCTGCAGAGTAAACTAAATAGTTCCACAGTAAATCATCACTGTATGCACATGCACATGCACCCGTATTAGGGCTCAGTAAACTAACTGTGCTGTAGGACAGTACTATTTGGGACAAGTATTATCCTGTAGTGGAGTATGTATGTGCATCAAAACTCATGTGTAGATCGTGACTGAGGCTGGCTGGGGCACGAGGATGCTACAGTGTAAGAGCTGCCTGCCAGCTAGCCCCACACTGGAGCAACCTCATGCCCCAGCCAGCCCCACCGCAGCATGTTGAGCTGAGACAGAGCAGCCCTGGACTGCGGGCTGACCCCTCCAGGCTCCCTGCCAGCTGGGGATGCTCTGCCCTGGATCAGTGTGCTGTGGTCCCAGGAGGATGTTTAAATGCAGTTCCCAGGAGCAATAAACTCTGGTGTGAACTGCTAATTGCACATGTAGATGCACCCTTAGAGAGCTAAATGAACAGATTTACTACAGATTTGTGTTTTTTCAAATATTTAATTGTTTCCCTGAGAATGGCATTGCAATGTACAGTATTTTATCTAATCTTTCACACTTTTGGAGGAGCAGTAGCACATTCTTATAGATCTCAGCTACTTATCTGTAGATCTTTTTTAGACTGCTGGCTGGCCATTGCCAAAAATATTTGGCCTTTGTGCTTGCTAGTTCTGTTTATTGAGACCTGTAACATGCAGGAGTTTGTTACTAAGGAGTTTTTCCATTTATTTTAGTGAAACCAAGTACATATGAAGTACCTGGAGAATACATGTGGCTATATCAACTCTTTCAGGATCACTGAAAACTATCTTAGTGGCTTTTTAATATACATTATGATCCCTAACTATTCATTTAATTCCCATTTAACTATAAAAGCTTAGACACATTAGACCATTTTCTGGATATGTCCAGCTATTACTGCTGGGTCATGGTTACAGCTATACCAAAGCAGTCCTTTTTCATGATCTAGAGTATTTCATATTTTTCTTTCCTAGATATGTGTTGAAACAGCACTTGTCTTGCTGACATTGTTACTGAGCTTCTGAAGATGTTACTAACCAAGACAGAGATATTTTAAGACTAAAATTTTGAATTGTTTAAAAAAACTTTCATAAATTCTTAATTCACATAATTTGAAAATTATTAAGCAAAAAAAGAACAAGATGATGAAGGAGCAAAGACTGAATTCACAGAAAATGCTATGCTAAAAGAGAATGAAAAGATTTTATAGTTTTTAGATTACAAATTGTAATCAGAGTATTTGGATGTACCTAATCTTATAAACATTCACAACTATATTAAACCTCTTTTTGAGATGAGAAAAAGGCACAGATCACTCCTGCAAAAGACAACTCTCCTCTCTCCTGTATTCCTTCCCCCTCCCCTTATCCCACAAGCAAGACAAGTGCCTGACACTTGAACTTTCAGCACAGCCTAGAGGTCAGCCACTGTGTGCTGTTAGAAGAGTTTAGGCAATGCCTACCAAAATACACTCCAACCAAGACAACAGGATTTCCCAGTTCAGAGAAATGATGACTTAAGTGCCTTTGCTAACCAAAACTCCAGTGTTGTCTCTCCTAAAGCCTACATACAAATAATTTAGGGCAGAGGCAGGCAAAATATGGCCCACAAACCCATTCTATCCGGCCCATGGGGCCTCTAAAAATTGTAGAAAATTAATTTTTATCTTCCCCTGGCTACCTGTCAAAGATGAGAGGCAGCCAGCAGCAGGGCCCAGTGGGAGTCTGTAGCTCAGCAGCAAGACCGGCCCATCTCCTCCTTGACCCCAGCCCCCCACCCCTCTTCCACCCTTAGGCC